CAAGACAGATTTTTTTTTTTTACATTTTTCGTTTAATGTGCAGTGTAGTTGTTAAGGTCGCGGGCCCCCCCTGTGCACTTGATACCTTCCCGAACACGTGTGTGTGTGTGTGTGTGTGTGTGTGTGTGTGTGTGTGTGTGTTTTTTATTATTACTTCCATTGACTGAGCTTTCTTTAACCCAGCAGAAGTAGAGCACAACTGCTGGAGGTAAAAGTAAGGGGGGAGATGGGGTAGTAGTTGGTAATGACAGAGGGGGGTTGGGAGAAAAGGGAAGAGACACTGACCAAAGGTGGGGGGAGATGAGGAGAGAGGCACTGACCAACGCTAGGGGAGGGGAGAGACGCCGTCCGACCCTGGGGGTCATCTAAAAATTTCCTTGGCCAAAAAAGGGGTCACGAGTGGAAAAAGTTTAAGAAGGCCTGCACTAGTGCATGCAGCAACACACGATACCTTAACGTTGTGAAGGAGCCTTTCATGTACTAATACAGAGCTGCATTCATTTTATCTGCCCGGAGTTCATCCTTGCACCCAGTGTGTGCATCTTGAGCATTTACGGCTCTGTCGGAACAAACGCAGCACAACATGGAGACTGTCCCCCCACATTGCACCATAAGACGTTCCAAGGATCTGCGGAATAACTTGTTCCAACAACATCTTTCTGCAAAGTCCTTCTAGCCAGCGAGCCTGTTTATTATATAAAGAAGATATAAAGAACGTTGGCATATAAGCGCTTATTGTTGTCATTAGTAAAACATAATTTTTTTTGTTTTATTAGGTTTCAGAGGAAACATGTAAAACCGTAGAAGTACGCATGAAAGAAGCATCGGAGTACCAGGCCCAGCTTGAGAAGAAGCTGATGGAGGCAGAGAAAGAGAAGCAAGAACTTAGAGATGAGAAACACAAGGCTGTGGAAAATATGGAGCAACAGGTATGACGTTTTATAATTTACTATACTCAGCCTGGGGTAGTAGTTCTGGGAAGGAGCTTGCAATGAGGGTGACCATTCTGTGCCTGCAGGGCAGTATTGTCGCCACAGGTTTGGGCACCAAGAGGAAGTCTGGACAGAAATATACACTGATTGGCTGGATTATTATATACACTGAGTGGCCGGATTATTATATAACTAGCCAATGTTAGGGCAGAACGGGGGAGGGGCAAGACTGGTACAAGACAACAGAAGGGCAACAGTGCCGTGTCAGATTCCTCGCATCACCTTTCATCTCGCGGAGTCACGAGGCGGCCCAACCAAGTACTGATGGGGTGGTCATAATAATCCGGCCACTCAGTGTATAAATGAACAGTAACGACATTCAAACAAATATTTTTTTGTCCTGTTTGGGTTTAGATGTGTTGTCATCTGTCGTGGTTTTTTTGTACTTTAATGCATGTTTTAATACATCATAACAATTTTAAGTAATTGTGCCCAAAATTCTTTAGCTATCTCAAAAACTAGCCAGCAGTGGAAACTATAAAACCTCTTGGGGCAGTTGTAATAAAGCAGCCTCCATTTCAGCCTAACTAAAGGCCAAGTCCACCTTTTGCAGGAAAGTAGTAAATGCAGCAACAAACATCTCACGATCAGTGCGCATTTACTATTTTTTGTGCAGTGAAGCTTGCAGGGCGATTGCACCCATGACCAGTGCATCACAGGTGCAATGCACAGGCTCTTGCAGTGTTTACCCCCTTTCTATTTTGGGCCAGGAGAATGCATGGCAGGGGTATAATGGCGGTTGTCGTCGCCCTGCTGACGGCGTGTTCCAGGTTTCTTTTCCACATTGGCATTGAGACTTGTAGTCAGGGCCGGATTTACTCTCTATGCTGCCCCAAGGCCAGGTTCCTCAATGTGCCCCCCTACCC